TACAGTATAGTTGATTTACAACGTTTCCCGTATCCAACAGTGCTTTTTAAATTAAAATCTTATTTGAGAATTTTTATCTTCCCTTGGCATTGACAAGATATCCTATCAAATTACATCCTGCTGTCCTAGCAGTATTCTGTGACATGACATTAAAAAAAAAAAAAAAAAAAGACACTGCTTATCACAAATGATTTGATAACAGGCAATACTAGATGTGTATCCTACCAAATATACAAGATAATTAAGCACCTGATAGACTTCTTTTAGATATGCTTCCATTGTTTAGGGTCTGGAGGTATACTTAAGTATATTTAATGGATCTTGTGGAATTTTATTCCGTGAACCGGTACGTTTTCAAGATCACCATAGATCAGTACCACCAGTTTTGTCAATTATGGTTCACAAGTGACCTTCATAAATCAAAATTGAAGAGAGCTTCATCTTTCCAGCATAAAATTATAGAAGCATTTAAACCAAAAGCTTGCAAAGGAACAAGGACTGGGGTTATAATTTACGTTTTTTTTTTTTTTTTTCTCTCTTGAATGGATGGTAGGAAGAAAACAGACACACAGAGGCTAAGAAAAGGAAACTAACCTTTGCTGTATGTTTACTCTGGGCCAGCCTCTAAAGCAATTTTTAAATTCTTACAAGAATTATTTATAGTAAATAATGATTATTCCCACAGGATTAGACAGACTCAGAGAAGATAAATAATTTGTTCAGGATTACACAGCTACCAACTGGTGGTACCTGCATTTGTACCTGTGTTGGGCTCTGTAAAAAGTCAAGTGCTTTTTTTTTTTAATCTTAAACAGTTCCAGAGTACTGAGATTTCTTAACTTTACCAACTTTTGTCTGGTAAAGCTCTTGCTCTTATCTAATTTCCCAAGATATATGGTAGAGTAATTATTTAGGCTTGTTGCAGCCATTTGGTGTCAAGCAAGACCATGAGGTTATGATTGTATGTCAGTCTGCAAGAAGATTCTGAGATCCCATATTAGTACAAATTAATAACTAAGAATTTTTAAACAGAATTCACATCTGCTCGTAAGAAACTTTAGTGACTGCAATTTTGTATTCCGGTACCAAAAAAGTCACTATCCTTCATGTAGTAGAGAGATACACAAGCTTTACAACTGAGTCTTACACTTCCTTTCCTCCTCAGTAGGAAAGAAAACAATAAAAATTTAGAACTATAAAGCTTCGCTTTCTTCAAAACAAAAGCAATCACAATAAATGGCACAATAAAAGTGTTATTAGAGGTGACAGGATATATTGCATATGCCAGCTGGTATCTCTTCTCTAAGTTTAGCAATTTTCAGCCAACTTGGGCTGACGCGGTGAAAGGAGATTTGTGAATGAAATATGCACAACAGGAAGGAAGCAGCTGGGATTATCCTCCAGGAGCTGAGTACGTATCATCGCCTAGAGTGCCACAGTCCTCAAGAGGCGACGCCACCTCCTTTCTGGTCAACAAAGGCTGCCATATCAAAGGCGGACAGACTTTAAGGAACATACTATCACTGCTTCAGTAAGATGTCTAAGAAGTTGTGTTAGAGGGTCTGCCCCTTCTTCGTGACTTTGTAAAATTCCAGAAGAAGAAAGTTCAATCCAATCATCGTTAGATAACAACTAACAGAAGTTTATCCTTTGTTTTCCTCCCCTGACACAAACCCTTTCACAAACACCAAGTGATATGGAAGACAGTTGTTTTTTTAGTATTTTCTATTCAGAGCTACCAAATAAGGACATTTTGAATTGCTGGAACTAATCAAAAGTTCGAAGGAAAGATTTAGTTTCTGTTCTGTACTTTTTGAAAACAAGTTTGAAAAACAGAGTAGTATATATTAAGGAGAAATCAAGAGCAAAATACTATCATGTAGGCATATATAATTCCTCAGGGAGAGACTGGCCAGCTGAAAATGAAGCAATATTTGGTAAGGATGACAGAGCAAGCGAGAAAAGCCCTTCCGCATGAAAGGATTCAAAGTTCTTTAATGATTTCCTCATGGAAACACATTCCTTATGAGTTTACATTAATTTACAACCTATTTTAAATATTTCAGCAAGTTACTTCTGAAGCTCTTTTTCACAATAATTAATTCTGTTCAAGCTCACTGTCAGAAATAAATGAAAGATTTTAAAGATATTTTTACTTTTTAAGCATAGGGAA